TGGTAGTTATTTTCGCTCGCTCTTTTTTAAATTTTTTTTAACTCACAAGTCTCATGAAAGAATGTGTGGTATCTAAGTATTACTACTACTTACTACTTCTTGGTTGGTGAATATGAAGAAAAGTTTTGGATAGAAATGCAAACGAATGGAAACCATATTTTGCATTGCACAGGGCGTGTTTCTAATCTTCATGTTTATTTCTAGTTAGTATAAAAAAAAATAAAAATTAAAAATTCGAATTGAAAACTGTTGTTTTTAAATGTATGTAATTTATTTATTATGGGATTTATCGGAGATATTGAGGCTAAAACTAAACTCATTTGAAGATGCACTGTTTTCAAGTATCATATACAATTTTTGGTAATGTCTTTCAACTAAAAATACTACAAAATAGCAGGACATAGATTATTTTGGAATCTTCATTTGCTTACTTCTTTTCAATTAAAAAAAAGGTCATTTGCAATTTGTATATATTTATTTTCTGTCATTTATTGTGATTTTTTTTTAAATAAATGGCAAGCTTTTCATTGGACATGTACAATTTGCAATTTTCATCTTTTTTGTCATCAACATATGTTTTTCATGCCCTTTTTTTTTTAATCGCACTTGGCGCGATTTTTTTTTTTTTTTTAATGGCTACATCACTACACTTGATGATGTAGTGATGTAGCCATTCTTACTTGGGGGGTGGTGGTCGGTCATGTGTTCAGTTCTAAATTAGTGAGTGTGTGCAAGTGAGAGTGAATGGTTATTTTTCTCTATGCGTGCCCTCTGCCTGAACGGCGACCAGTCCGGGGCATCTTCCGCCTTTCGTCCGAGGTCAGCTACGAACGCCTCCAGCTCCCCGCGACCCTAAACAGGATATGCGGGATATCAAATGGATGCTTTGGACGAATGCTCATTAAAAATATGCCTTAAGCCAAATTGTTTATAATTCAGTATGTGTTTTCAAAGCAAAATAAATTGTCATCTGTTGACAATGTTTCTGCTTCATGGCTGCTTGTGTACCTGAAAAATAATTCACTTTTAATTCAATTATAATAGCTTGCTTTTCATATAAGATAAAAGCCCAATTTAAAAACAATCAATCTTGCGATGCCAGTCATTGTGCAGAGACTCTTATTAACTTTTGTTGAACATTTTTACACGAGGGCAATTAATTGGTTTAACAGGATAAAATTAAAGTTTGTAGAAATGGCAGGCCGGCGACATAAGTGCCGTTTATTTCAGAATAATTCAATTTGGATTCATAGCGTTTGGGAAAAGAGGTCTTCATAATATTTTCGCCCTTCGAGAGAGTCACCGTAAACTGTTTACATCCCATTCACATGAAGAAAAACTGGAGAGAAAGCATGTAGCTGACCTTTCGGAAACCCGATCTGCGTATTTTGCGGTTTGGCATCAATCGGAAAGCTACAGAATGCGATATTGGCGGCAGTAAACACACTGCTTATTTCCCGATGACCTTTCCTTGCCGCTAACCATTCATTTATTTGAAAGCGAACCACGATGATGAGCGTCGCATCATCATCTGCGCTGTTACATGCCACATGTGCTCAGGAATAGCAAGGGGAAAGTCAATTACTCTGAAGTTTTATCGGGTTATCATATGAGAAGTGAAAAGTCACGCCCGCCTGTATTTCAATAGTAACTCTTCTGTCTATGCGAGCGGTTTTATTGATGAGTAAGTGTTGTTTTTAGAGCTCAGCGGAAGGATCCACCGCTCCCATTGCCTGTGAAATCCGTTTTGTTGTTTTTAAGTAGCCGCAGAATCAGTCTGTGAGTAGAGGAGAGCATAATCGAGTAGAAATAGTTCATTACCATGCTTGAGATTTTTTTTTCCAAGCGTCTTTCCTGAAGTTTTTTTTTTTTGTGTGATGACCTTGTACTTTTACTCCTTCCATCTAAAAACAAATATCATCCTGTAGTCCATAGTCCTTATTTGTCAAAAGAGGGATTTAACTTTTTTTTTTTCCACGTTAAAAAAAAAAAAAAGACATCAACGGAGATGGTTGAGAATTTGGTTGACTGACATCTGGGAGTCAAAGGCCGAGGGATGAAGACTCACGCTGTCTGTGACGTTTTAAAACTTATCATGGGTGGTCAATCGCTGGGCCACTCGTTTTCCAAAATTTGAATCGCTGTTGTGAATTGGAACAATGTCGCTGATTACAGCCAATCAAAATGAACATACCATTTGACACACACTCAAAATACATTTGCGGGTTTTAAGATAGCGAGACGTAGCCCGCTGCCAAGCCTTCCAATTACAGTATATAAAGTATACACACTTTGTATAGTGTGTTTTACAAAAATACTTAACTATATTTAAAATTTCATATTGCACCTGTGAATGAAGAGTGAAGTTTGCAGCCATACCGTCAGAGCGACGTACGTTCTAAACCCGCTACATTCAAGTGAATAGGGTGGGTTAGCCTCTCAATGTAGCCCAACTCGTCTTCTGTAGCAAATGCCTGTTATTGTAGTGTTTTATGTTGTATGTGCAGCCTCAAAAGCCAACAGCAGCAGCTTCCGGTTTTCAAAAATCGGACATGCAAGTAAGGTGTGGTTCCCCCCCCCAATTATCACGAGCTAGCTTAACTGGAGTTTGGTTCGGTCCTTCTACTTTGTCTTTTTCGACACACATATCTCTCCAAAAGTCACTATTTTATTATCGCCTCTGTAAATTATACATAATGGCAAGGGATAAGGCTGGTGTCACCTTTCATGTGCGCACAATGGTGCGCCGGGTCTCAGAGGTCAACATAGACCAAGCGGCGGAAAGGCCATGTCTTCATGTAAGCAGTGGAGAGAATCACTCCTTGCCCTGGGGAGAGGCCAATGGGGGCTGAGCACAAGGCAACCTAACTTGCTAGCAGGGATAGAACTGTCAAGCAGGAGTCACAAGGGGCCCAAGCATTAGAGGAGGAGTCAAGGGCAGCCTAGGACGGTTTGTCTGAAGCGACGACGGGAGGAGGGAAGGGTCACCGCGGAGGGATTGAGAGCACATTAGCGGCGTTACACTTACTTCCACTTGCTTAGCCGCCGACTTCAACACCAATTTACTGCTATCCGCTGGGTGACACCCTGTAGCTCCTGACGAATGAGATCCAACTGACATTCAAAGCAGATTTTACCGACCACGGCTAGATAAACATCCCTTTCGGAGTACCATAACTTCCTAGTTTAACCCATCACATTTTAGTACCACTGTATTGTATAAAAACATAAAACAGAATATCAAATAATTGAACTGGTTTTATAAAGTGGAAATGCTGTATTTGTGTGTCGGAGCAGTGCCTTTAAGGGGAGTGGCCTAATGAGTGACATTACGAGCTGGAGTATGAGTGGCTTCTGGCACGTTTTTATTTTACGTTGGTGTGTTTGACTGTTTGTCCCGTTACAAATAACAATTGCAGCTCTCCTTGCCCACATGCCAGGGCAACGAAAGGCATAGACTGACTAAATTTCATCAATGTGAACCGGACGTTATCAAAATACACTGATTGGTGACGTACTGTACACACACACACACACACACACACACACATTGAAAAGATGATGCAAGTGTGACGTAGATGATGGTAAGGAAGCCGAAAGAGCTGGAAAAAGGTGGCTGGGGTGAGGGAAGCCTAGGCTTCTCTGCTATAGCTGCCCCCCCCCCGCCCCCTTCGTAACCTGACCTCAATGGAACAAAATGGATGTGTGGATTTTCGTTTTAGATTTTAAAGGCAAACCACAGACTATTCATGCTGAAATATGACTACTTTCATGGGATGTGCTAGAACTTTATATCTTGGCTGAAAACTGTTCACATTAACATGAAAAAAATAAATAAATCATCGAGCAGGGATGGGCAACGTAAATGCTGGTGGTGGCCACAATTTTTGATCAATGTTGCCAGATGTGTGACAAAAACACTATGAACACAACATGTGGTCAACAAAGGGTTGAAAGTTCACAACAAAATAGCCACATCGTGTAAAATGCAAAAAGCTCTCTTGCATAAAAATTGCCATTCAAGGACGGCACAAAGCTGCTGAACAAGAAACCAACATTATGTGCAAGAACTCATTTGTAAATTGTTTTCACAAAAATAAACTCATGCAGAATTTAAATTTTAATGAGGTCCAAAATTTGTTCTATGTTTGTCCTGCATAATCATTCAAATCCCACAAAAAAATGTATGAAGCCTCCTGACATTGTTGGATAGAGCGGTAGACTATAAGAACCAGTTTCAGCGCAACCAAGACATGTCTTCCATCTAGTGGTGATGTGTGATTTTACAACGTAAAACTACAGTCGACCCTTGCATATTTGCAGTTTGGCGCCTGTGGATTCATATTTTCAAGGAATTTTTTTCTTACTTTTTATTTCTTTCCAGGATGCCCCTCACCCCAACTTGCCCTAATTTTTTTGTTTTCGTGGAAAACATATTTTGAATACTTATCAGCATTTTTTGAAGACATTTTTGGGGTTAAAAAAAATTGGAAATGAATCAAGGGGCCACTCAGAGTTGCCCATCCCCGATGTAAAGTATAGTTTGTGTCAAAAGTCATCCCAGTAAGCAGACTAGGTTTCCAACTTTGACTGTTGGAGACTTTTTAAAATAGTATGATGTAGTGTACATATCATTTGGGCTACGAATTGATTGCCGCACGAAGACACACAGTCCATAATACTAGCAGGATCTATCTTTGCATTATGTACTGTATGTTCGTAGAACTAACCTCAGAATACCTCTCAAATTATATCGTGAAATCTTTTCAAGCTCCGGCATTTAAGGTGAGTACGTATAAATGATGACAGGGATGTTCCCAGGATGCGTGTTGTGCATTTCGTCACACCGGTGTGCGTGTGTGAGACCAAAAAAAAAAAGATAAAGCGAGCACAAGTCTTTGTGTGTTGAATTTGGCGAACTCCACAGAGTCCCTCAAGGGTCCTTGAGCAAAGGGATCTGGGAGAATGTTGGAGGTGCCAAGAAGAAAGACCCCTCAAGAGTGAAAACACACTAGCGTTAAGTTATTAGCTCCACTTTGAGACGTGTATGTGAAACAAGCTCTCACAAGAGCTGCTGAGAATCCCTTAACTTGCATTACTCCACCCCCTGGCTTTGTGTCTTTTTTTTTTTTTTCCATAAGGCGACCATGAGGGTTCTTCTCTCCATGTGGATAGATCTTCGGGCCCAATTATCTGGCTACAATGCTCAATTAGCCATAATCCCTCTTTTGGGTTGATAATGGAGGGGCTTTACGTTTTACTTAAGGACGAAGAAGCACTTTATGTACCGTAAGAGAGATGCCAGCCATGATATGAAAATGTTGTTTATAAATGTGTGCTGTTGCAGTTTAGATGCAGTGTTGTCCAAGTTTCTTCTAAAATCCTCCGACTACCTTACGACATACTACATTATATTGGTCTATAGCAGGGGTGTCAAAACAAATTTTTGTCGCAGGCCACTTTAAAGTTACATCTTCCTTCAGAGAGCCGACAGTGAAAACACACAAATGTTGTCTCATCGCATTATTACAGTGGTACCTCTATCTACTTACGAACTTAATTAGTTCCGGAAGAAATTTCTTAACTAGAAAATTTTGGAAGTAGAGATGCATTTTCCATGTAAATGTCCTAATCCGTTCCAAGCCCCCCAAAATTGAGACATAAATCTTTTCGAAAGCATAAAAATGCAGCAAAATATGTAACAATGTTACAATTCGATTATTGCACATTAATGAGAGTTGTTCATAATGTAAAAAACAAAGAATAAAGAATAAAAATGATGGTCATTTAACTTTTAACTGTGTCCTCATCATTTTTTTGCCCTCTTTAGTTCATGTTCTCTCTCAGAAGTTGTTTTTGCCTGGCATTTTGTAAAGAGCTGAGCAAAGGACGTCTGCGTTTGTCGGCTTTTAACAGTCCTTCGAAAATGTCCAAGGCAAACATCAGCAGAGTGAGCGATCGCCGGACTGGTGAACATATTTTCTGGGGATTCACATTTACGTAAAACTATCGGAACGCCCGAGAGGCGAATGACGCGGACGCCTGGGAATAGCCAATGGCAGAACATCTAAAAGTATGGTGCGTTCATGAAACTCGGAGCTGCGAGTATACATACTGTATTTTTACCTTTCGTATCTTGAAATTTCTTTCGTAACTTGAGGCAATATTTTCCTGTTGAGGCATTTCACTTAAAAATTTCGTATGAAGAGACGTTCGTAAGTAGAGGTACCACTGTACTTGAACACACCAAATTTAATGTATTACTAGTTTTGAAATCAGTCAACTACAATAGCCAATTATTGTTCAAGTGACTATAAACAGGGTAACAAAATGATTGCAAAATCTCATCATTTAATATACATGACAATTTCACATTTTGGTACAGGTTTTTGCAAGGATCATGCAAGTTGACGCACATGATTTTCTTTCGGGCGGGGGGGCACATTAAATGACATGGTGGGCCGGATCTGGCCCCTGGGCCTTGACCTTTACACCTTAGTTCTACAGTGGGAGATAGTTAAACAGAGATGCAATATTTCCAGTTAAAAAAAACATTTTCAGGCCAAATTAGTGAACTTGGACAAGATTTTTTGGCGCACTAATGTGCCATGGCACACTGGTTGGGAATTACTGAATTACTCCCACCAAAATATTAACTTGGTTTTATCATTTAGTTGGTGTCGAATGCCAAATTACAAATGATAACTCAAGGATCCTACTGGGCCCACTTTCCATTGGATGTCGTCATTCGCGGGCGGCTTGGTCCCTATTTCACCTGAATAGCGTTTTTTTTTTTTTAACTTGCTCGACTGGTTATGAAGCGTCACTTTTAACTGGCTCAATAAGCAATGTCATATTCTGTGTTGGGATTCCCAATTAAAAGAAGCATTAACCTTGTTTACAGAACACAAGTGCAAGGGCTGCGAGTGTATTGACATTAAACAGTGGGAGGCTGCTTTGTTGGCCACTTGCCTTTGCTGCGAGTCGCGCTCTTGCGACGAAGTCATCTCCAGGCCTCCATCTGGGGTTAACGCTCGCTTTACTTGGGCTCACGGCTTAACAAAGTCTTCTCGAAATACATTTGGGAGAAAGAAGGGTTGGAGGGAAAATGTCTGCCTGGCTTTACGATGTGGTAATTAAAGGCACCGAATAAGGTGACTGCAAAGTAAGACTTGACATTAAAAAAAAAGTGTAGAAACCTGGCACCCGCAACGTCCTTGTGCTGCTACCACTTTTTTTTTTTAATTTCATGTGCCAAAAAGTACACATGATAAAAAGCTCCTCGCAGAGGTAAAATAAAGCAGTCTTTTGCTTTTATGGCTGATGCGGGTGAGGTATTTGGCAGCAAAAGTAACCCGGTGCATGCGCCTTAAGTGTTCCAAAAAGTCTGATTCAGATAAGCCCGTTGAGGTGGTCACCCAGAGCCCCCTGACTTGACTCAGTTCTGGAACACGGGAGGTGAAAAAACGTTTCATCACGTCGCCATTTGAAACCAAATAACATCTACTCACTGGACACTTGATTAGGTACGTAAGAGCGATGCTCAGTGGTGGGCATTTTACCAAATTTTTGTCAGTCTGTCATTCATCATCCATGAGTAGATACCCATCCGTCATCGTCAGTCTGCCATTTTTTTCAAGCAGAACCAAATTCTCAGTTGGTCGGTCCGTTACTTTATTTTAACCGCGCTTCCGCGTTCTGTCGTGGTTGTTCTCCCAGCATTGAATAAATGGCTGACTGTGACTCTCCTTTCCCACATTTGATGGCAGGACAGTCAGTACAGTGGGTGAGTAGATACCCATCCGTCATCGTCAGTCCGCCATTTTTTTCAAGCCGAACCAAATTCTCAGTTGGTCAGTCCGTTATTTTATTTTAACCGCGCTTCCGTCGTGGTTGTTCTCCCAGCATTGAATAAAATGGCTGACTGTGACTCTCCCTTCCCACATTTGATGGCAGGACAGTCAGTACGTCAAAAAGTCTGATTCAGATAAGCCCATTGAGGTGGTCACCCAGAGCCCCCTGACTCGACTCAGTTCTGAAACACGGGAGGTGAAAAAAAAACAAACTATTTTTTATTCATCACGTCGCCATTTGAAACCAAATAACATCTACTCACTGGACACTTGATTAGGTACGTAAGAGCGATGCTCAGTGGTGGGCATTTTACCAAATTTTTGTCAGTCTGTCATTCATCATCCATGAGTAGATACCCATCCGTCATCGTCAGTCTGCCATTTTTTTCAAGCAGAACCAAATTCTCAGTTGGTCGGTCCGTTACTTTATTTTAACCGCGCTTCCGCGTTCTGTCGTGGTTGTTCTCCCAGCATTGAATAAATGGCTGACTGTGACTCTCCTTTCCCACATTTGATGGCAGGACAGTCAGTACAAAAATAAAAAAAAAAAAAAAAAAAAAAAAGATTGTTTAAAATAAATGCGACACTGACATAGACGAGGGTCAGTAATCACCTTATCTGACACGTATAATAAAAAGTTTCATGGATGCTATTGTCGGATAGTGCAGGTGTCCCTAATGATAAGGCCAATGAGAGCAAGCGCTATCCCGGCCATAGCGACGCGTCTCGACTTTATCCCACTGATGCGGCTAAGCTCCATCACAGGTTGCTGCCAATCAAGGTGCTCCCGACTGTCTGCTCCACTCGGCCGAGTGGCACTCAGTTAACCTCAAATCAAGGCCCGTAATTTGTGGTTGATGGCACACTTTAAGACCCGTCTGATCCCCGCGCCTCGGGCGGCTCAGTTCAGGACTTGATTAGAGGCCGTTACATGTGGGAACGACCGCGCTAACCGCAACCCCGGGGCCAAACATGAGTCGCATGCTCGTCATGTGTCTTATGTGGAGATGCCTTCTTGTAGCTGCGGATTCCGAGTTCCCCTTGAAGGTTTTACCGCTCAAAGTCGAGCGCGGCTCGTGACAGTGAAGATCTGATGTGCTATTGTGTGATGAAAACATGCTTTTCTTGTTCGTATCATGCTTGTTTTTTTTCCCCCCCAACAATCCTACCAGAAAAACTCCGGCGAAGGTAAATCGTATTCCGCACATGACATCATGACATTTACGTGCAGAGCCAATTGGAAATGCCGTCAATCTGTTCCAGCCTGCAAAAGACTCCCGATTCCGATCCAAAGGTATCCAATTGCACGTTTTTTTTTACTACACATGGCCATGAGGCATATCTCAATCGTGCCAGTTGCGAGCATTTAAGTGATGATTATCATTTACAAGCACCAAAAAGGACAAAAATGGATTTCCGCACACTGTTCGCCTTGCTTTGAAGGACAAGTTTATCTTTAGATCGGGGGCCACCAAGTTGGAACCCAGACGCACCAGTTACTCCCCAACGACCACGCGAGTAGCCCGCCAGCCCGTTCTGAAAACACTGCGCCACTGATGAGAAATCGTTGATGGGATTTGAAATTTCCTGAGACTGTGGTACAAGCGATCATTTGAAAATGTAAACACTTTAAACAGAGTTTTTATAGAAATAAAGTGTTGCATGTTGATATGTTCTACCTTGTTCAGTCATGTGTTATTGTGAGGTATTATGAACGTGATCCGTCTCTTCATAATTGACAATGACAAATAATTTAAGGTGATTTCAGAAAAAAATTTTTTTGGAAAGACTTGAAGGCCTTTGCGTTAATCTCTGCCCAAAACGCAGTTCGGTATCAAAAGGGTTCACGACCCCTGGTTCAGATAGACAGATAGATATACTTTATTTCTCGAGTTGTTTTAATTTCTTTGTCTGTGTTTTAACGAAAACTATCAAACCATATATCGATGAAGATTTGGGCACATGTACAAGCCAGAGCTGATGAGGACTCTGTATGCCGGCCTTACAGCTGCTCCCCCTCACCCCCCGCCCCCGTCACTCGCATACTTCACACTCACACACTACACGACGACATGTTGAAAGAAGCCAAAAGAAAGGCGAGTAAGACCCCACCACACCTTTGGACGCCTGTGCTCTTGAGGAATTCCACCAGGAACAAAAGTAGAACATTTGGAGAGCCCATCCTCCTGGAGTGGCCACACATACATTGAGTGAACGTTTGTGCAGTGGACTTGCCGATGGATTCATTAGCGCCCCCTCTTCGCCCCCCCCCC